CCTACGCCGACGGCCAGAGGCCCGCGCATCTACATTTTTTCGCCTGACCCCATCAGTGCCGACCCAACTACACCACCACGCGCATGCCTCGCGGCGGATATGCGCAGCAGCAAGAAGGTTTCGGTCATCCCTTGAGGGTGAATCTAGCCCTGCTCGCCAGAAAGACCCCCCCCTTCACTACAACCCATGTCTAAGCAAAAGCTTGTCGAGGAGCGAGGGGAAGAAGGGAGAAGTTGACTTGGAGACCACCATTCTCTTCGAAAAGGTCTAGTTCCTTGGACTTTTTTTTAGAAGGTAAACTTGTTGCGTGTTCGTATGCAGGCAAGACATCACATGTCTCCGCTCTCTAGACGTCACGTTCCGAACTACCGTATATGACACAAGGTAACACACCCCCTGGACCGATTTTGATTTCTCAACAACAGAAAGAGTCACGGCGCCGAAAACGGCGGCGTTGGAACCGCCTCGTCGAGAGCTTTCCAAACATGTATCGTTTCGTTTATGCATACTCTTGGTCGTGGAGTAATCGAGCTTTGAAAATTGGTCCAGGGAGTGTGTTATCTTGTGTCATTTACGGTATGCACGTACTACCCACACCCCTCCGGCGAGATTCATTCAAGTACATCCATATTCTGTCCGAAATGGAGACCAACGAAAGAAAAGACTTCATTCAACCAAACAGCGAGTTTCTCCTCACCTTTCTTTATTTCTTTTTCTTGTCTTGGTGTCATCCGTGTGTTGGTATTTTTCTTCCCTTTCAGGATCTACCACGCCACTCATGCGGTATGCAGAAAACCATGGTCGCGGTGCGTTAGCGGTCGAATGGATCGCCCCAGAAAACCATGGTCGCGGTTTGTTGGCGGTCCAACACATTGCCCGATCTTTCCTGATGCGCGGCGATTAACTAAACTATTAGATGTCATCCCTGGATCGCGTACATACGGTACCAACCAAAACCACAACCAACCATACTTGTACCTACCTCACCCACACATCCATGCTGAAAGCTCGATTGCTCCGCGACGATCAAGAGGATGATGCCACAGCAGCCAACCAGGTGTGTCAGTGATAAACATCTCGTGCAATCCTACCGTACCTCGATGGCCACATTACACAACGGCACTCGTTCCGCTCGCACATGTGACGTTGAAGAAATTCGCAGATTCGATGTGAGCCGTTCAAAGAGCTACAGCTGTACATGCATGCACCAAGCAACCAAGCCAGCGGTAATTCGGCGCCCAGGCTCATAATACGTCTGTACCCTCCCCCCCTCCCTTGCCCCCTTGACCGTAAGGCAAGCAAGCATCTAACACTGCCCCAGGACGGCGTAGTCAATGGTCGAACAACCATGGCGCAAAACATTGAGTACCCCCCCCCGCCCCCCAATGCCCCACCCTCATTCCCAAAGAAACGCCCGGCTGAACGAGTACTTCGCGGTAGTGGGACTACACGACGGGCCGCTGCTGTTGTCCGACCCTCTTCCAAACGAATCTCCCCCCTCGCTCTCGCCGGGGAGAAGCTCAACGGTACCGCCACCAGCAGCAGACAAGAAGAAGAACGGGCATGGGGCTGTTTTTGGGGACCATACTGAGGGAGGGGTGAACTCGGGGGGCTCAAGCGGCGCTGCTGCTGCTGCTGCTGCTGCTGCTGCTGCTGCTGCTACTGCTGCTACGACGCCGGCGATGAAGGGCGGAGGTATCGGCGGTGGTAGTAGCCTTGGCAAGGGCAACGACACGACCAAGAGCAACGGAACGGCCTCGACCGTAGGGTCAAACAGCGACGGCGGCCGCAGCGACAGCAACAGCACCGACAGGGAAACAACAACTAAGACAACGGGGCGGCTGGCGGAAGGCGTCCCGCAGCAGGGGGGCACCACAGAGTCTGCGCCCCCCCCCACCCCCTTCGTGCGGCCAAACCTTGTCAAGCGACGGACGTACGGTAGCTGCGAGCTGGGAAAGATTCAGGCTCGGCCCGGGGGGATGAGCGGTCCCCTTCACACACGGTTTCGGGCGAGGGTGCTGCACAGGTTTCCCGGGTACGACCACGAGGGGAACGGGTGCGCCTTTCCGGCTAACCTGCCGCTGTTCTGCCTACCCGGCGGGCTCAAGCTGAGCCTCGAGATGACCCTGCCCACGTTCTTCACGTTCGTCCACACCAGGGCTAACGGCCAGCACATGTTCGGGTACTGCCTCTGCCTGCACGAGGTGACAAGAAGTTTTGTTCCCCCCCCCCCCCCCCCCCCCCCCCCCCCCCCCCCCCCCCC